TGAGAAAAAAAGATGAACAATTTTTAAAAAGCTGTGCAACTTTTGCAGATATCTATTAAATGTTGTTCAAGTTAAATGTTCAAATAGGTTTGTTGGCACAGATACACAAAATTACTTTAATAGAAAATCTTCTAATTAAAAACCCTCAGAGCATTCACAGTTTTAAACATATTTATTTGTAGCTGAGACGTTCACTTTTCATTTGCCGCTGGTGATGGGAATATTCTAACATGAGCTGTCCCAGATAAATACAGCCGATAGTGAAAAAGGGTGTGTGCGTGTGCGTGCGTGTGTGTGTGTGTGTGTGTGTGTGTGTGTGTGTGTGTGTGTGTGTGTGTGTGTGTGTGTGTGTGTGTGTGTGTGTGTTGGGGAGACAACCAGCCAGAGCTCCGTATTGGCTGATCGAATGTTTTTCAAGTGAAATGTTCAAATAGGCTTGTTGGCACAGCAATTGCTTTAATAGCAAATATTCTAATTAAAAACAACTCAAAGCATTCACAATTTATAACATATATTTTTAGCTGAGATGTTCATCTTTAATTTGCTGCTGGTGGGAGTATTCTAACATGAGTTGTATAAATACAGCCGATAGTGAAAAGGGGGCGTGTTTGTTGGGGCGATAAAATAATGAGTCTTTTCTCACAATACTATCATGACTGTCATTTTTGAATTTTGGTAGATATCGATCGAATGTTGTTCAAGTTAAGCAGTCAAAGCATTCACAATTTTAAACATATTTATTTGTAGATGATAGGTTCACCTTTCACTTGCTGCATGGTGGGGATATTCCAGCATAAATTGTCCCAGATAAATACAGCAGATAGTGAAAAAGGGGTGTGTTTGTTGGGGCGACAACCAGGCAGAGCTCCGGGTCGTGACGGAGGAGGAGACGCCGGAAAACACGACTCCTCCAGCGGGGGTGGGGGTGGGGAGAGGCGGCCCCTCTGGCTCCTGCGGGTCCCTGGGGTGCTGCTTCCTGGGACCCTCGGGTTAATGGGACAGTCTACAATTAATGGCATTTCTATGGAAACGACGCATCACGACACGCAGAGAGGCACGCGGGACGCTGAGTATAAAACAGACGTGGAGGAGACGAGAGGAGACAGAAGGAACCTGAAGCTCCAGAGAGACACCGGACAACCGACTGACTGCTGCCCCGGAAACACAGCGCCAAACCCGGATCAACCAGCTGAGACCTCCGCTGATTAGACGAGACTTCCACACCCTCAACAGGTGAGACAGAAAATACTTGTTTTTAACGTGAATTGTTTGTTTGTTTGTTATGCCTGTTTTAAAAACTAGGTTGCTTATTATTTGACTAAGGTTGTGGTATGTATATCTTGTATTTAGTTTACACTGAAAACTTGTATTACAGTAGCCCACTCTGAACTCAGTATAATTACAACAAAAAATGCAGGCAGTAGTAGGTTTGCTTTTGGTGTTTATAGCATGATAATCAATAAACACATTAATAACAAATAGATAAAATACATGCAAAGTAGCCTACTGCAAAAGTAAAAAAATCATAAATATAAAAGAAAGAAAAAGACAATGAACAGAAGTACATTCACATAATTATGTAAAATATATAATATAGTTTTGTGCAGGTTGTACCATAGGGGATGTGCACGAGTTCATAGTACAGAGAATATGCATTGTGCTGGGATCCTTCATGTCGATTAAGACCATTAGGAAATATCAAATAAATGAACTGAAGTTAGTCTCTGTAAAATATTCAACAAAACATGATTCTGTTAACCTGTCAGTACAGTTATGTTCTCTCTGACCTTTGACCTTTCTATGGAAGACAGGAAGCAGTCACTATATATTATTTGCTTTAAACAACATGACATCGATATCTTTGACAAACTGATGTGTTTTAAAGTGTGTTTCTAACTATAAAATCTATCTCTGTTTCTCTCAGCAGTGATCCAGATCAAAGCATCAAGATGAAACAAAGAACGACTTCATACAAGATCAGTCCCGGTGAGTTTACAACCAGAACACATCGTATTAGATTTGATATCAAAGTTAATTTATCCATTGTACCCTACTTAAACAAAAAAGATAAGACAGATGGAAATACGACCACAAACATTGACCTTAAATATATTATAAAAATAAGGAATTGATATTACAATGTCCACAGAGTATACCTGAAAAGATGCATAAATACGTGTATCTGGAAAACACGTTCAAATAAGACAACACACACTAAAACCTACTAATAATTGTAATCATCACAGAAAAAGCAGAATTGATTGAACATTGTACGTTTTTTTTCTTATTGATCGTGCATCATGCAAGGGACAATATGATCGTACAAAAATGATAATGATAAAAATCTAAAAATAGATCCTGTCAGACCTCTTGCCTCCAGCTGACCCCTCTCCCTCTCCTCTCTCCCCCTCAGACTCTCTCCCCCGTCAGGTGAGCACCAACAGTCGGGAGCGTTGGCGCCAGCAGAACGTTAACGGAGCGTTCAGCGACCTGCGGAGCCTCATCCCAACGCACCCCCCCGACAGGAAGCTCAGCAAGAACGAGATCTTGCGCCTCGCCCTGCGCTACATCGGCTTCCTGGAGCAGGTGGTGACGGAGCAGGACGGCGTCACCGTGGCAACCAGGGGCCGCTCGGGCAGCGTGGATCAGGAGGAAGACGAGGAGGAGGAGGAGGAAGAAGGGTTGTCTCCGAACTCCAGCTGTGGAGACGGCCTGATGGACGAGCAGGACTGTGGAGGACTTCTGCAGTTCCTCCAGCCATGGATGGAGTAATGAAGGGTCTTAATGGGCCGGGGGCTGAAAGTGTCTGGGGCCCCCGCTGCAAAATGACACTCGAAGAAACGAGTGATCGAGGAAGAGACTTGAAATTACTGCAACAAGACAGAAAATCTCTACTCCTGCCCATGGACCTGGAGAGGTGAAACAAAGATGATGAAGTATTCATTAAAACAGTGGAGCAGTCCTTTAAAAACACATTGTTGTATCGGACTGAGAGTTCATGTGATATTCACATAGTGGAGTATTCATTCATTATTAGATTCATTATTCAAATGCTAGATTGTGTTCTGTTATAACGAGATGCTGTGATGTGTGTTATTTCTGTCAGAGAAGAAGAAGCAGAATAATCAGTAACCAGATTGAGTTTCTTTTATTGTGAAGGAACTGTCGGTGCTTTTATTGTTTTAACACTTTTGTAAAATATGTTATTATGTGTGCTGTTTGTTGATTATTTTCATCTGTGATGCAAAATGTTTCTGTGAGGTTACAGATCAATAAATATTTATAAAAAATGACACTTTCAGTGATTTATTTCTCATTATGAATATTTTACACGTGTTGATGTTTAATAATGCATTTATTTGTTTAGTTTAATTAAAACATACATTGAGGTAATTACCATATTTACAATATAGCAGGGTTCAAAAAGAAAATGCTGGACACCAAGAAACACGAGTAGAAATTTAGAGGTGTAAAGTAACTAAGTACATTTACTCAAGTACAATGTTGAGGTACTTTAATTGAGTATATCATTTGTATACTTCTGTGTACTTCTACTCCCTACAAGTCAGTGGTAAATCATGTACTTCTACTCCACTACATGTATTTAATACCTTTAGTTACTTCACAGATCTGAATGAATGATGTGAAATATAGTCAAGTGTTAAATCAGACTTTAGTTCCACCTGGAGTAAATCCACAAGCTACCCTGCAGTATACAAAGTCATTCAAACTAGCTGCACCTTTACCAGCTTTGAGAACACTTTAATGATCAATCATTATAAAACATATCATATATATTATTCTGAAATGGACCAATCAAACAATGACTACTTTTACTGTCGCTACTTTCACTATATTTTGATGAGAATACTTTAATACTTTTACTTGAGGAACATTTTGAATGCAGGACTTTTACTGAAACAGAGTATTCCTACACTCTGGTACTTCTACTTTCACTCAAGTACAAGATCTGAGTACTTCTACTTTTACTCAAGATCTGAGTACTTCTACTTTTACTCAAGTACAAGATCTGAGTACTTCTACTTTTACTCAAGTACAAGATCTGAGTACTTCTACTTTTACTCAAGTACAAGAGTACTGGTAATATACACAGCATCAAGTATTTAAATGTGTTGTAAACTACAATGCTAAAATACTTGTACATGTGTAAACTCATTGTATTTAGGTACATGTGGACAGGAACTCTCAGTGAGGTAAAGGATCTGNTATATATATATATATATATATATATATAGGGGACCAGGCTAATGTTGCAAATACTGACAATATGTTGGCAATGAAAACCATAAACTACAACCATATAGTCCGTTTACACAGTAAACAAAATTACTTTTATTATACGACTGTGAGGCAAAATTGCTTGAGTGAATGGTGCAATAATGATATCAGCCACATAAATAAACACATACTCTACAATATTGTATGCAGGAGAAACATCTGTTGTTGTGAAGGGTAAGTTAAGGTGATTCCAGTATGTGTATGGTATCTGTGCATTACAGTATAACTGATATATTGCGGTCATAAAAAAATAATGTGCCATTTCTGACTCGGCGCAATAGCTCAGCCAGTATATGCATTTTATTTAAAGGGAAGAGATGCCTCACCTCCAGTATCCCTCTGTCTCTATTAGGGATAAAGTGAGTCCTTCACCTCTCCATTCTCAACACCCCATTGAAAAAGTATTTTACTGTGCTGTAGTGCAGCTCATTAATATATCTGTATCATGATAAGCTTCATTTCTGGTCCAAGTACTGTACAAGTACTTGAGAGACAAATGGCCGCTGGTCCCATTAGTTCCATTAAACTACCAACGCAGCTCTGGCGCAGACCTTAGTCTTGAAATTATGTGATGGCTCAATTTAACCTGGGGTACTGAATTCAGTGTATGAATACATCGCAGTGTAGCTTCTCAGCCAATGTTAAGTTCCTATATACTTCATTAAAATTAATGGAGATATTTTTGGATGTTATCGAGCAAAGCAGGTGAAACAGTTGCAGCAGAATTGCAAGCACACGACACAGATATATTTAATAAGATGCTAACTTGCTTGGAGATATATAAATATTTGCTAGCTCTCTTTGGCTCTGAACAAAACATGCATATTACAAATATCCTACAAACATTCACACCTGAAAACCAATATTCACACTAATATACAGTAGGGTGCGTACACACATGGAAGCACACACACCTTCCCCGCGCTGCCTGCATAACAAATTATGTTTATGCCTTCAGCACTGGGTTGATAACACTTTAGCAAATATAGATTGTTTATGGGTAGTACATTAGCACACAGAGTCGCCGCTGTGTCTACGCCTCGACTGAGACACGGGGGCAGGAAGCTCAAGCAATGTGTGTGTCAGAGTAAAAAAAAAAGAAATACATATTTATTTATTTGCAAATGGAAAAGTTTATCTCGAGAATGAACTTTCGTCTGATGAATGATGAATTTTACCGAGTTATTGGCTTCTGCTGTCAAGGTTGCCGGGTTGTCCCAGAGAATTGTATTCGACTGGCAACAGCCACCAAGAGAGTTCATATCAAATATCTGCTCTCCTTTAGTTCTAATGATCACTGTCAATCTTGATGGATTAGAGTATGCATTATCGACCCGAAAATATGAGGGAGAGACAGACTCAGCATGCATCACTGAAGGAACAGTTTGAGCAAACCCATTAGGCGCGTTAATCAGGATAAAATGTCTATCTCATCTATTTTCAGTGGCTGACCGCAATAATGAGTCATTAAACATTGTGTTTCAGAGAAATCCATCTCCATCTTGGCCCAAAGATATTCTCAGATTATTCATATTATCCTTTATTCCTCACCAAATTGGAGGGTCGGATCAAATTTTAAAGTAATCTGTCGAGGGAATTGGACCAAAATTAAATAAATCAGGCAAAATTGATTTAAGGTTAAACAGGATGCAATATATAGCCTCTATGCCTATTGAATCATCTTATACAGAGGAAATGTTTTGCACAGGGCCAAATTCTCCTGCCGATCTCTTTCTGTGAGGCTCAATGACATTTACTGTCATCTGTTATGACATTTGTAGTGTGTTCACAGGCACATAGTATCCTGGAGATCGCATTTTATTTTTGATGTCATCGACTGAATATACTATTTCCTTTGACATTTTCTAATACCCTGTCTCAGATATAGACCTGTAAATTATGAGAATATGGCCATCTTTGTAACTTTTGTGGTTTGTCTGACCGCAACATTTATTAGAAAAATGTTTTGTCATTACATGCATCAGTAGATAAAAATGTAATCCACTCATTACTTCTATGTATCTGTTTATGCCTGTCGTGATATACTGTATAGTTGATTAAACAAGGAAGGTCCTCTAAATAAGAATTTTTTTTGTTCAAATAATATTCCTTTGCACATACAGTATACTGTAACACTCACAACTGAAGATTCAAAAAAAGAAACCCTTAAGTATGTTTTTTCATTGTTAGAAAATAAATCATTTGCATAATACTGTCACAACTAAAACGGACGGGGTAGTGGTGGTCTAATGGAGTGGTTCCCAACCTTTTTTGTCTTGTGTACCCCCAGAGCCTTTTGTCATACCATGAGTACCCCTTCACTCATACGTGCTGATGATCCTTCACAAGTAGAACGTAACTGATTATTGAATGAAAATAACTTTATTTCAACTCCTTAATTCGAACATCTAATTCTCAGACATTTTCTTAATTTTAACTTAAATCACTCAATAAAAATGAATATGTTGCCTTGAAAATAAATAATATAATCAAATAAATACATATGAAATCAAAATAATCAACTTATCTTTGCTATATATATATATGTAACATTTAGGCTTAAACCTGGAGCCCCTTTGAATAAATCCCCTTTAAACAGGCATTTAAACTTTAATTCGGGAACAAAACACTTAGCAAAATAATATCCAGAATCAGTATAGGCCTAGCAGTTTCTTTTCACCAGTCATGTGAGCTTTAATGAGACACTTGAGCTAGCTTGTCTTTCATAAGCTTTGATAGTTCTGGAGGCACTGTGGAAACAGCTGTGACCAGGCTGGTCTCCACATCCAGTCTGTTCCTCTGCTTGGTTTTGATGTGTGTTAAAGCTGAGAAGGTCACCTCACAAAAATAAGTAGAACCAAACGGCAAAGGTTCAATCAGTGCATGTTTTCCCAGTTCAGGATATTCCTTCTCCACATCACACCAAAACTCAGTCAATGACTTCTCAGCATATGCCATCTTCAGGCCACGGTCAGATGATAATTCCATCAGAGGCTCCTGCAGCATTGCTGGAAGGCTGTTTCTGCTCTCACTCACAATGAATGGGTTCCTCACCCAATCCAGTCTTTCTGACTTATTTTCAATGTCCTGAAAATAATGGCTGAAATCAGTGCAGAGTTTGGACAGGTGTGCTTGCACCAGTTTGACCACTGGACCCCTGGCAACAGCAGTTGTGGCAAGATGGGCATTGAGTAGTGGGAAACAGCTCACGTCTCCCTCATCACATTTCCTCTCCCATAGTTTGAGCTTTTTTGTGAATCCTTGAACTTTGTCATACAATTTCAGGATATGTGACTCCTTGCCCTGAAGTGATAGGTTGAGCTCGTTGAGTTTGGTAAACACATCAGCAAGATATGCCAGGCGCGCCACCCACTTGTCATCCTCAAGCTGCACAGCAAGAGGATGCAGATGCTCCGTCAAGAACACAAAAACTTCATTGCGAAGTTCATAAAGTCTCAGTAGCGTTTTCCCACGAGACAGCCAGCGCACGTCTGTGTGAAGCAATAGCTGATCGTGCTCTGTGCCGTTCTCATGACAAAGAGTTTCAAACAGCCTGTGATTCAATGGCCGAGATTGGATGACGTTTATCATCTTCACAGCATCATCCATAATAGCACTTAAATCAGGGCTCATCCTCTTGCTAGCTAGTGCTTCACGATGAATAATACAATGTGTCCATTTAATGTCGGGATTTACCTTTCTTACGTGCCCAAAAAGTCCCTTTACAGGCCCCGTCATCGCAGCTGCTCCATCAGTACAGATGTGGCTGCAGGTTTTCCACTGCAGATCATGTTCTCTGAAGAAGCTGTCGATAACCTGGAACAATTCTTCCCTAGTTGTCTTTCCTGGCAGCGTTTTGCAAAATAAAATATGCTCGTTTATGTCCGACGCATCTTTGTAACGCACGAAGAACAGGAGCTGCGCTTCTCCACTCACGTCTGTCATTTCATCCAGCT